ACCTGATTCTAAAACTCTTGATGTCTCTCATAAGTTTCGTAGTCTAGGTTTTATCTTTGATTCTACTATGTCTCTCTCTTCTCAGATTAATAGTGTTGCTAGAAGCTCTTACTTTCATCTACGTAGAATAAAAAAACTTTTGCCTTTTCTTGATGATCCTACTCTTCTCCTTCTTGTTACTTCGTTAGTCTTATCTAGGATTGATTATTGTAACTCGCTCTACTATGGTCTTCCTGACTCTATACTCTATCCTTTAAGTAAAGCTTTTAACTCTGCTGCTCGTCTAGTTGCTCGTGCCCCTTTCTTTTCTCATATATCTCCATATCTTGTTCTCTTGCACTGGCTACCTATAAAATATAGAATAATTTTTAAAATTTGCACGTTCATGTATAAGTCTCAATCTAAATTATTTCCTAAGTACTTATCAGATATATTAATTGAACCTAAACGCCCCGGTTTACGATCGTCTTCTTCTTCTCGCTTTTTCTTAACTCGTGTTAAACACTCTTTTGCCAAATCTGCTTTTGCTTTTTCTGGTCCTTTTCTCTGGAACTCTCTGCCTACTTCTCTAACTATTTCTCCATCGCTTGCGAAGTTCAGAGCGGATCTCAAGACCCATCTGTTTTCAAAATTCATTGAGGAGCGCTGTTGAACATCGCGGAAATAGCGCTTTATAAGCTAATTGATTGATTGATTGATTGAACATCTAATTTATATTTGCTATTCCATACTTCTGTACTTTTGTTTAAATATTTGAAAACATGAATATGAAGCTTGGGTTATTTTTATTTAAGCAAACACAAAAACAAAATGTCGGCTGTGGAAATTGAACCGTCAGAATTTTTTTCAGTTTCATAATTAATTTTTGATATATTTTTTATTTAAGTTTAAAAAACCATTTTACAATTTTAATGATCTTCTAATTTTTCTATTGTGTTCAGCCAGTGGATCGCCTAAAATAAAATCTTTTTTCATTTTTTGATTTCAAAATTCTACCACAATTAATTAATATTTGTTGTTGATCATTTAATAATGAGACTGCTAACCTAATCACACGAATTAGGTCGGTGCACATGAGATTGTACTCGATGAACAAGAGAAGCTTTGCAACAATATTCCTTGCTTCATTGTTTGCCTTTGGGACTCTCATCATAATTGGTGTCTTTGGTTCGTTCTTTTTTGAAAGATTTTTTTCATTGTTGTGATATTATTTTAAAATAAAATTATTATGTTAATAATTTAATATCAATTCACTTGTATATTTTTCTCTTAAACAGTAGCTCCTGGATTTATTTGCAAGATTAGTTTTGTAATAATAAAATTAACTTAGGACCAATCATTCAAAATAATTGGGACCAAACATCTTATGGACAAATCATTTTTTATATTATACTTTTAATAAAATAATATAAATAAATGACTAAAATTATAATAAAACAAATTGTTTTGATCATAAAAAATGTCAAGGTCCTCCCATTAATGATGAATCAGTCACTAACGCATCAACACTCAACAGATCAGATCTAAATTTGCTGGTCTGTTCATTTATTTTTTTTCATTCATTTTTTATTCAATCGGTTCTTTTAATCCATTCAAAAACTTTCAAACCAATTTGACATTTCTTCGTTGATAAATTCTCAACACAGACGGGCCCATTAATTTTAAAGTCTCTGCCACTAACATCATTCAACCAGCAAATGTGGCTGTCCGTCAAATACATTATAGACCAATTAGGTTGCCTGTGTGTGTGTGTGTGTGTGTGTGTGTGTGTGTGTGTGTGTGTGTGTGTGTGTGTGTGTGTGGCTTGTTTTTATGTATACCTGTTCCTGTATATTTGTACTGATTATCATTATAATTTCCAGATGGGAAATTTGAGTTGGAGTTCGTGACCCGAGTTCAACTGCACGG